GTGAATTGAACTACAGGAAACAAAAAATGGAAAGCAGACTTCAACTTTGCATTTAACCATAGTGATTACATATTATATATATGTAATCACTATGGTTAAATTTAAACATTCTGGAAAAGAGCATTTGCTATTAGGTGTACTTGTTAGACATGTTGTAAATCCAAAAAAAACCCAAAAAGAAACTCATAAAAGAATAACCTGAAAACCAAAACAGGTGGTTTGAGCAATCAAGTTTTCTCACCATAGATGCTTTGCAGCACAGAGCTTTTACTCAATGCTGATTTGCCAAGTTGAAGTCTGCTTTCCATTTTTTGTTTCCTGTAGTTCAATTCACTCGACTCTCCTTCCTTACAGGCTTTCACTTCTCTCCTTCTGCGTGCACAAAACCTACACACACACACACACACACACATATAAGCATACAGCTCAATAAAAAAACTTCTCAGACTGCGTTCAAAGGCTTAAAACCTGGCAAGTCCTCACACTAACGCTCACTAAGCGTAAACAAAGTAAACAGTTTATTCAAGGCACTTAATAGGCCGTATGTACACGATTTAATTGTGAGGCTGCACTGAAACAGAGGGCCTCCTGCGGCGGACTGGCAGCTACATAGAGAAATGCAGCGAATTTAAGAAGAGAGGAAAACCAACGAGAAGCTGCTGGGAGCTATTAAAACAGCCCCACTGAACTTTTAGCCTCTTGTTAAACTATATGAAAGTTCTAGATTATAGCCTTTCTGTCCCCTGCCTCCTTGTCTCACCATTCTCCCAATGCCCCCCCCCCCCACACTTTTCTCATGTGAATATGAGTGTGTGTGGTGGGGGGGGTGGCCTGTGCTTGTGGGAAAGGACACATGTGGGCACCACATGGGACTACCAGATTTATAAAACATAAAAGCTTTGGTCACGATCTCTCTCCTCCAGGTACAAACCTGTGCCACGCTCGCTGGATGATGCGTGCAGCCTCATTCCTCCTCAGCTGCTCTCTGTCATGTTGCTCCCGTCGGGTTGTTGACAGGGGTGCAAGTGATCTGGGCTGAGCTTCTCTTGAGGGCCGCTTGCGATCAAAAGATGAATTGCTTCTTAATGAGACAGCTTGGGCTCTGACAAAAGCCTTCTCTGAAGTCTGCTCTTTGTGGTTCTGGTGCTTTTGTAGAGAAGCGTGTGCATTACTCTTGCCAGAAGCACTCGAGCGTCTGTCTTTCTTTTTGCATTCCCTGGCACTCGCCTCACTTTGGTCCACAGTTGAGACAGGTGTGGAAGGAGATGATGCGCTTGAAGAGGATCGTTCCCGGACTTTGGGCCTGGTGGGAGGTGTGGGTTTTAGACTGGGTGGCTCCCTGCAGCTGCTAGGAGACAAAAGTTCCTTCAGCCTGGTGGTCTGGGAAGATTCAGCATCACAGCTCAAAGCTTCAGGAGCCTCAGCTCGTTCGGCTGCACTACTTCTTCTGGGCCTGTTCTTTTGAGCTGGCGGGGTGGGGAAAAAAGTCTTTTTAATATTCGACTTATTCAGTTCTTTTAGCTGAATCCACTTTTTGCACAAATAGCAAAAAAAAAAATCTTATCAAAAAGATATTTACCATCTTATCAATGCTAATAAACGTTATCATTTATTCATTTGTGACAAATGAACTTTCCAGTTGTACCTTTATGTCTCTCCTCTTTGGTCTTTGTGCGTTCATCTTTGGATGATTTCCTTGTCTCCACTAATGAATCATTTATGTTCATTAAGACGAGCTTCTCCTGCTCTGCTCTCGCCACTGAAACCCTTTGTTTGTCTGCAGCGTTCACTGAAACTCGATGCACGGCTTCTCTTCGTCGCTGTTCTTCTTCACGTTTTCTGAACACAGGGGTGGGTAATGAAGCCTTTTTAGTTGAGGAATGTGATTTAGTAAAACCAAAAAAAGTCACTACAGGAACAGTTGATTTTAGTGCGGAAAAACAAAGTGAAGAGTTAAATTGTTAATTAAGCATTTAAAACAATCAACTATATTCAAATACACTGTTGTTATTTATAAGATCATAGTGTAAATATATTAACACTAATAGAAAAACTGAAAATTGCACCATTCTGGTTTAGCTTTTTAACAACAACAAAAACAATTTTCATGGCTTTTATGGTTTCATTATTTACAACTTGGCAGCACGGTGGCTCAGTTAGTCGAGCTGCCGCCTCTCAGCGAGAAGGTTGCCAGATTGAATTTGCATGTTCTCTTCTGTGCATGCGTTGTTTGTTTCTTCCGGGTACTCTGGTTTCTTCCCACGGATCAAAAACATACATGTGACTGCTGGATATGGGCACCATTGACCCCTGTGACCCGAAAAGGAAGAAGCAGATAAAGATAATGGATGGATGGATGGATTAAGGTAATGGTCTCGCTCCAGAACTCCTGGAGCAAATGTCAAATCAGCTGCATTTTGCCGCGCCACCCAGGCGAAATGCAGCAGATTTGACCATTAAAGTGCATTTATTAAGGAAAAGTTCAACTGAGACACACCTTTGCTATAATTTCGAGCAAACAAATAATTGTTTTTAAGTGTTAATCTTGTTAAAGTCCTCCCGTGCACACTCCCATGGCAGCCAATCAATTTTTGGCACAACACCGGCCCATCTTTCCAGGTTGTCAGTGGTGACACGTAACCAACGCGATGCGTCAACAGTGACGCATAATAGATGCGACTTATGCGGCGATGTATTTATGTATTTTTCCACTTTATTAGATGTATTTGGACTGATGCGACTTATACGGCGGAGAGCGACGTGTACGGTGGAAAATATGGTACTTTATTTTTGGCAGATTTGCCAAAGTTCATCTACATTTGTTAGTTTTATGGCAATTAACAGACATTTAAAAATGCTTTTTCTTCTCCTTCCATGTGATATTTTGTTGTTTTGTAACGAGCAAAAACGATCAAATTATTTTCCTTGAGTTAAAGTTTTCTGCCTGGCAAAACAAAACAAAGAAGGTGGCTCTGCAGCTTTATAAAACAAATTTACCTTTTTAAACTTTGTGAACAACAAAAAAAAAAAGGTGAGCAAATGACAAATGAAGCGCAAACTAGAGGATAGAGACAGAAGGAAGATGCATGTGTGTACACATGACAGAAATAAAGACAGATAGGAAAAGAGTGTGATGGTTTCCACTTGGATGGGAGGAGGAGGAAGACAGAGACTGATCAGGAAGACAAAAACAAGAAAAAAGACAACTTTCAGCATTTTAAGAGAACTAAATCCTTATACACAGTGCTGTATATTTCTCACTTGGCTGCTGCATCTTTGCGCAGTTGCTCATGTCTCATAAGCAGCTGCTTTCTCTCCTTGAAGGCCTTGCGGACCGTGTAGCCCTTATAGACGGCCTGGATGGACGCAGCAGCGATGTCCTGGATGGCTGCTATTGACAGAGCCCCGTGCTCCAGCATGAACTGGGTCACCTCACTGTGGCCCCCCAGCAAGGCGTAATCCAGAGGGGTGTACCTGCACAACACAGTGTCATTTATGCATTGCCTCCATGTTGCCTCTGCTGCAGCCCTTATGGCTTCCTCAGACCTCACCTCTCCTCTGTGTGCTCCATCTGGTTAGGAAAGGCACTGTAGCCCAGTAGCAGTTTCACAGCATCCAGGTACCCGTTGTTACACGACCAGTGGAGAGCAGTCCGCCCCTGTGCACCCATAAAAAGGCCACTTGAACTTTAACTTTATTTTAAAATCCAAACAAGGGCAGAAATAAATGAGAATTTGCTTGCACCTCCTTGTCTTGTATGTTTGGGTCAGCATTGTTCTCTATGAGGACTGCCATGCATGTGATGTAACCGGCGTACGCAGCACACTGCAGTGGAGTCCTTCCTGCATGATCCTGCAAGAAAGCTGACTTTACACATCTACGCATGACTTGTAATACTGTGCAAATGTTTTAATTCAACCCTGATCTCTTTATACTTTGCTTTCAATGAGCCAGTATTTCCTCTATTCTATTAAAGTTATTTTAATCTACATTTCTTCAAGATTTCTAAAGGTCTGAAGTTTTTTATCTAGTTATTTTTCATAAAATTTCACTAATTTCACAAACTTTAAAAGATCTGCCAAAAGCCCCAAGTCTGTTGATTAGGACCACTTTAAAGATTTACAGAGTCTGGCTGCTTGGAAGCAAAACAGTATAAAAAAAATAATAGAAAAATACTTCTTTTTTTTTTTTTAATTTCTTCAGATTATTTAAACCTAATGAATGTAGACAAAACAATACTTGCTTTGTGAAGTCTGTAAAAAGCACCTTATGTTGTATCTTTGACTTTTACATTTTTTATTTATTCTTTTGTTTTTTCTTTTTTCGGACTCTTTTCCAGGGGTCGCCACAGAGAACAGACTCGCACGAAGACTTGGCGATTGTTTTTAAGCCGGATGCCCTTCCTGACACAACCACAGACCACCGAGCTACCACAGCCCTGTGTGGAGCAGAGAGCTGCCATCTAGGGTGTCTGGGGGAGCAGGTGGTGGGGGTTAAAGGCCTTGCTCAAGGGCCCAGAGTGGGGCAAATGAGGGTGGACCCACATCCCTGTGGGTGTTTCACCTTTCCCACCTACACTTAACTGGTCCAGGGAGTTGAACTGGCGACCTTCCAATCAGACCCAACTTCTCTAACCTCTGCGCCACCACTCCCCCATAACTTTGACTCTTACATAGCTTTTCCTTTTTACAAATTCTGTTTGTGATAAAGACGAGTAGATAAGCCTAACAAATGAGTGAAATGCTTTGAAATCACCGCTCAGATAACGACACACTGCTGCTTTTGCTCTGAAAAACACACAATGGCTCCATAGCCAAAAACAAAGCACCAAATCTGAACTGAACCTTCCATTTAAACTCATACCTGTACGTTGGGACTGATCCCATTCTCCATCAGAATCTGGCACACCTCAGCACTCCCTCCCAGAGCGGCCCAGTGCAAAGCAGTGTGACCGTCCACATCTACGAGGTCCACACGTGCAGCACCTGTACACAATAGGTTGAATAAGGTACAACAACAGAACACACACATTGAGAACGTTTATTTACTGCTGGCTCATTTCCAGTCATTACTGATCACACCCACCTTTGATGAGTGTAAGGATGACATCTTTGTATCCCTTCTCACAGGCGCGAAACAGCGGCGTGTGCTTCATGAGGTCTAGAGAGTCAACTACTGCTTCTTTCTCCAGCAGCAGCTTCACTGTGCTCACATGGCCTGACAGGGAGGCCGCATGGAGCGCTGTTTGAACACACACACACACACACACACACCAAGATCCTGAGTCTAACAGGATAATACACACCCTCGGGACATTCTCTACTCATCCCGTTACTTGCAACTCTTTTGTGGCTAAAGCCTGGTCAGTGGAGGGTTAAACAGACACAGAAATTTAATGAGGAGCGATGCCGTGAGTCCTCCTCACTCTGGTCCCCAGACAGCACTGAACAGAGTTGAGAGCAGGGAAGAGGATGTGGGCACCAGTCAGCACCACTGCCCCGTCACACCAACTCATTAGCACCACATGTTCATATATAAACAATGTGCAGCTGGTTGAGCAGAGCAGAGACAATATTGGCATGAAGATTATGTGTGTAAACAGCTTTGTGGAGGAGGCGGGAGGGGATCACAGTGTGGCGTTTGAGTTTGAGCACGTATGAGTGTATGCATGTCAAAGGAGTGCTAAGAGTATTGGAGGCCTGCTCAGCATCACCTCCCTCACCGACTCCTCTGCACTTGAGTGGGAATCCCCTGTTGACATCATCCCTAGTCTAATACAGGTCAAATTAAAGGGCTAGGATTCCTTAAAGGGATACAATATCATGAGACATGTTCGTGCTTGGAGCATGATTTGAGGACGACTCCCAGCTACCATACCACAGGTTTGCTCAAAATTAGTAAAATTGGCTGAGTTAAATTCTTTTTTTAATACTAAGGTTGCTTAGGTGTGGCGGCCTTGAATGAAGTGACTTCAAAGGTTAATCTAAATCCAATCATTTTCTGAGAGTTTAATTGAAATCCGTCTACTGGCTCATAAAACATTTTGCTAATGCTACAAACAAACACACACACACAGACATGGGCAAAAACATTATTGCCCTCTTTCCTTTGTCAGCAGGCTCTAACAATAGCTGGGTGTGCTTGTGCAAAGCATCATGAATGGTGGAAGCACATATCAGCTTGGAGGAGATTCACTTCTCACTTACCGGTGCCGCCGTACTTGTCGGCCATGTTGATGTCGATGTGAGGGGCGAGGGCGAGCATGGTGCGGATGACATCATCGCTGCCCTTCCCGGCGGCCCACATGAAGGCTGTTCGCCCCTCCAGATCGGGTTCATCTTTCACAGATGGATGTGACAGAAACACACCAACAGTTTCCTTAGCGTGCAGAGAAAGACAAAGGCAGTTTATTAACTGAGTTCACTCGACTTGTCGTGCGACACGAGGCAGCAAAAAGCCACTTTATTTCTCCTTTATTACTCTAAATGTGAAGTGAAAGAAGATATCACCACCAAAAAACAGTCTCTGTTGAAATGCAATCAATAACACCACATATTGAGCATTCGAGACTTTAAACTCTATTCTCAGGAAAACAGTTTAATAATCAGCAAAGCTGCTTTTGACTAAGACTCACAGCGTTGTTTCTCTGAGCTCCGTAGTGCAGTGGTGTCGCTCCTTGGCTGTCTGAAGGAATTGTGCCTGACGTGTTTCTCTCCAGCAGCAGGTGGACAATTTGGGCATGGCCTGAAAAATCAGTGTTCAGAGTAAGAGGGCAGAAAGTGTGAGAATGGCAGTCATATAAGAAACAGATGTATCACAATATTGTCCTACAAAATAGCTTTATTTTACTTATGAAATTACTTTTACAAGTTGAGTAAACTGTATGTGCTGCAGGTTAAGTTGCAGTTTGTACTGTGAATCCTTTTTAACAAATGAGTGTAACATTGTGTTTCACACCATCTTGGAGGCATCTTGTCACAGTGGACAGCCTGTAAAGGTTGATGACACATTACAAACATGAAACAAAAAAATATTTTATGCTTCCCTCCACCAGTAAAACACAAATGTATAAATATATTTTCATATAAGATAAGGTAAGATGGAACTTTATTGATCCCACAGGAAATTACTGTGCCAGAGTTTCTTTCAGTACAAAGGCGCATACACAAGAATCACAAGATATTAAAAAAATAACAGAGAATATTAAGTTCTAAACATGTGCAGACAGAAACGTTAAAGAGTTTATTGTAATACAGGATTAATTTTATTGTCCTATGTGCAGAAAGGGGGAGGAGTTGAAAAGCTTGATAGACACAGGGAGGAAGGACTTCTTGTGTTGTTCTGTGGAGCACCTCGGTGGTCTCAGTCTACTACTGAAGGTGCTGCGGTAAGAGTCTAATTACTTGGTTATATGAACCAGCATTGGCTCCCTGTCAAATTCAGAATAGAATTCAAAATCTTACTTCTAACCTACAAAGCCCTCAACAACCTAGCTCCATTTTATATTACAGATCTTATTGCCCCATATTTTCCTAACAGAGCACTTCGCTCTCACACTGCAGGCTTATTTGCGGTTCCTACAGTTTCCAAGAGCAGAATGGGAGGAAGATCTTTCAGTTATCAGGCTCCTCTCTTGTGGAACCAACTTCCAGTTTATGTTCATGAGGCTGACACATTATCCAGTTTAAAGACTGGGCTTAAGACTTTCCTTTTTGATAAATCCTATAATTAGGGTTGGCTTGTTATGCTGCTATAGGCTTAGACTACTGGAGGACAAATTGACCTCATTTCATTAAATAAATTGTTAAAATTGAATAGTTTGCATTTGATATTATTTCTATCTCAACATGTGATTCTCGACCTGCCATTGTGTATCTGTTCCTACCAAACCCAGCCAGTCGAAGCAGACATCCACTTGTCCTGAGCCTGGTTCTGCTAAAGGTTTCTTCTTCATGAGGGAGTTTTTCCTTTCCACTGTCGCCTTCATGCTTGTTCAAGATGAGAGTTCTGCGATGAAATTAAACTCAAAGCAGTCTGCTCCTCACATAAATAACGTTAGCTTACTTTTATATTTATGAATGTTTCTGTTCAGTGCCTTGAGAAGACTTCTGTGGTGACTTGGCGCTATATAAATAAACTGAATTGAATTGAGTTCAAATATATTTTCATATGAACCAGTTTTGTCTTCTTTTTCGATTCTCAGCTGAGTGAACACACTCAAGGCTGCAAATCAACTGTTGAAAAGAAGTCAATGTTGAGACCCCTGTTTGGGCTCTCTGACATTTTGCTCATCTTGATTTGTGTAAACATTTTCAGCTCGTGTTATGCTATAAAAAATAAGTTCTAAAGACTAAACCATTTGGACTAAAAGCAGACAAAATATAGAACAATAAATTCAGAATCAGCCAAAGAAATTAAAGTCCTGGCATTCCTTCATGCATAATGTCAAAATGCCAAAGTTTTAGAAAACAACAATTTTATGAGAGTTCCTTTAAAATCTGCCCTGTTGTTCAGAAGATATTTTGCTAACCCAACAGATGCATAAACACACACTGGTACGCACTTTGAGTTATCTCCGTGCATTGAAAAAGCACAGATTTTTATTGTCAGGCACATCAAAGCCAGGCTGCTCACATAAACAATAACTAAATAAATAAAAGAGCTAATGAAAATAGCAGTGTTTGGGAGTGAACACTGATCTGACTCAGTTTCTTGAGTTTTGCAGGTTGTATTTAGGACGTGCGTGCTCACTCACCCAGCAGAGCTGCCCAGTGCAGCGGCGTTCTGAAGAGGTTATCATAAGCCGTCACATTACAGCCCTTATAAGACGTTAGCACCTTCACTACTGCCTCGTTACCATCGGCAACAGCAAAGTGCAGGGGTGTCCGACCCTCATAGTCCTGCCAGTTCAACAGGGACTCAGTGGGTGCTGCTTCCTTTACACACAAACAACAAGACAATGCAGACTGATGGGTGAGGAGGGGATATGATGACAAACGTAACCATGCGTATGAATCAGTGTGTGCTCCAACATGTACCAGTATGCAGCGGACAGTCTGCGTGGCACTCGCCTCCTGACTGTGTGCAGCCCAGTGCAGAGGAATTTTGCCCTCGCTGTCTGGGATGCCGATGTTGGAGTCATGCTTGATCAGAAGGCGGACGTGCTCCGGTCGGTTAAAAAATGCTGACCAGTGAAGTGCAGTTTGCTGCAGACAGAAATAAGACAGAAAGAAGGAAAGCAGGGATATTTAAAAAAAAAACGAATGAATGAGAAGAGGGGCTGTTGTAAAGGAAAACACACACAACTGAGGTTTCCGCTTACGTTCAAAGTAGAAAAAAAAAGACTCCTCTACAACAGGATTGAGAAATATGAAGGACCACAAAGCTCATATTGAGGATCTGGCAGCAGGCGGAGATTCGAACTCAAGATAGTGACTCTGTGACGGATAGTGTGCTATTCTGAGATTCGCTCAAACTGCTGTCATCTGACATGATGATGCATATTGGGTTATTAGAAAACTAAATACTGATGTCAGATATGAACGGGCTCCAGCAGACAGAGGGGACTCTGTGTTTGTAGTTTGATCAGGAGAGTGCAGAACAAAGGCAAAGACTGTTACATCATTTGCTCTTGTGAACTTCTCTGAATCTGTGCTAAAGTTCCTGGTGCTTCGAGTAAACTATCTTTAGCTGCATCTTTTCAGGTCAGACGCCCAGACTGGAGGACAAATTACAGACAGATTGGAAACATTTGGTGCATGACTCCGCTTCAGAACCTTATTCTTGTCTTGCGTGTCGACCTCTCCGGGTCCGATGTGTTTCAGCAGCAGAGCGAGGGCTTTGGGCGACGGGTGTCGGGTGGCCAGGTGGAGCGGGGTCATCCCCTCCTGGTCTTTCTGCAGGCAGTTGGCACGCCTGGAGAGGAGCAACTTGAGGAAACGCACGTTCCCCTGCAAACACATGAGCGTGACAAACTGTGCTGAGGAGCATTTTCAGAAATCGCCTCAGCATTAGTCACGAACCAGCAGCGGTGTTACACTGTTACACACGCGCAAACACACACTTAGGCTCTCAGTGGCGTCTGCTTCAATCCGCAGGTCATCCATCTTCGCCGCTTTCCTCCTACCTCGCTGCTCAGTGCCTGTGATGAGCTGTTAAACAGTAAACAGTGGCCGTGCCTCTGACTGTCAGCCCCTCCACATCATTATCACCCTCACTCCTGGCCTCTTTAACGACCCCCCTCTGGGTGAGGCATTGTACACAAGGAGCAACGGAGGTGGCCACACAGACACGTATGTTTTGCATGTTTGCCTTTCTGAAACCGCAAAGCCACACAGCCTGACAGATCTATCTTGTGTGTGAGCATGCATCTCGACAGTGAGAAATTGTGTGTGTGTGTTTGCGTGTGTGTATTCCTGTCCTCTCCATTCTCGGTCCAATTAGATCAGTAATCCCTGGCCTCTCTTGCTGTCTCAGCCACTTATTGATCAGATGTCAAAGAGACAGGGCTTCCCATCACCAGCATCCCCCAACACACACACACACACACAAGCACACACACTCCTCATTTATAAGACAAATCCCAATAACTTGTTACTTTCCATCTCTTTTCAATAATATGATGATCCCATGTCTGTACACTCCCACAAGAGAAAATATGTCATTCAGTTACTGAAATGTAAAAAATAATAGTTGACACATTCTTTAGAATTCAGAATCCATGAAAGAAAACAACCTTCATGGTAAAATGCCTTGAAACACAACATGCATCTTGTAAAATGAACTCCTACAAATATAAGTGTCTGTAAATATAACATAGTTGTAATGTTTGTGTTTAATGATCATAAATCAGTTGAATTCAAAAAGCGTAAATCAGTTGGTTTAACCTCAAATTAACTTCTGAACCACTAGGGGGCACAAGGCTCCCATTGGTGCTTGTAGACTGCCTGTTTTTCTGCCATTGAACTTGAATAGGATCCCACATTTTTATTTTTTTATGTCATAAGATTCACTATATGTATTAAGAGTTGATGGCATATAAAACAGCGAATGTCTCTGTGTGTTACAGTACTTAATTCTGTTTTTTTGTTTTGTTTGTGTGGACGTTTGTACCTTCTGAGCAGCTAGGTGCAGAGCGGTTCTCTGGCTTTGGTCCGTTTTGTTGACTGAGGCTCCGGCCTTCAGCAGAACCTTAGCACAGCACAGGCGGTCAGCCAGAACACAGTACATTAAAGGGGTGCGCTTAAACTGGTCTTCATGGTCCTTCAGCGAGGGCTCTGCTGCACAAACCAAGGAGCAGGTTCAAATAAAGCACAGTTAATAAATGTTCGGCATAACAATAAAACGTTATAGAATGTTTTACTGAGACAGTTTCCTATTTTTCCAGCAAATTTCGTATATTTAATTGGCGAGGATTTATAAGAAAATACTGAAACATTGGTTAAGACAGAAACAGAGTTAAGGTTTTTCATTGGCTGATACTGATGCAGATTTATTGATTTTTTAAATCTGGACAACCAATAGCTAAAATGTACAGTGCATTATTTGTTTGTTTGGTTGCTTTTAGCTCATAATAATTGAAGAAATTTGAGCAAATATTTTTAATAAGGTGTAAGAGTCAAGAACAACATGCAGCTCAAAACCTTTTTAATATGAAAGTCTTATCATTTCTGAGTAAATAAGATTGTTTGTAACAATGCTTCTACAAAGGTTTGCAAAATATTCCAGTCAACTCCTTCTGTGGTCTGGTGTTGTGCTAAATAAAAGCACCCCTGGCATAAAAGCCCTGTTGACGCACTTTGACTGATACAAAGATGGAGTGTCTCATAATAACAATGAGCTGTCTGTAGATTTGCCTGCCCTTTAAATTGGTTTAGTATGGTAAAGTCTAGTCAATGCCAAAAACTTGTCTAATTATTCACATGACTGATCGATCAGTCAATATATTTTGTTTTATGAACTCATCTTTTAATTTATTAAACACTTCGTCAAACAGTTTTATTTCCATGCCACTAATATGCTCAGCGTACATCAGTCAGGTTCTGGTCGGCTCCTTCAGAGCTACAATTTCACTTTCAAACAATCGGCTTGATAAAACAGTCCATGACTTCGACAGTGTTTAATGAGTTGGGTTAAATTATCAAAGGCTGACTGGGTCTAAAATATTGGAGTGCTTCAAGCTAGCTGACAAAAAAGGATAATTTGTTCGTTCTGGAAGGTTTTCATGGCTTACGACAACAGCAGAGGAACAAGTTCCAGTTCAAGTCAATTTTATTGTCATTCGCATCACATGTGGTACATGGGGTGGAACGAAATTATGTACTCAGGGTCACAGTTAGACACAAAAATAGCAAAAATATAAAGTGTAACAAGAAACAGTATATAAGATGTAAGATACACTAAGATATAAGTTAAACACTGATAATGTAACAATTAACAATGTAACAATAACGAGAGCTGCACAGACAGAGGGTCTGCAAGGAGGCAACAGAAAAAAACTAAAACAATTCGAAAGGCAAGTTTTTTATATATATAAAAGTTCCTAAATGCATGTTATGAAGTTAGACAGATTTTATATCTGCTAGTCAGTGACTAAATGTTTGAGGAAACTTTTGGCCTATGTTTGATAGTGCTGTGCCAGTGTTGTGTTGACTTTTGTTCCCCCCGTCAATATCTAATACTCCACCAGCCTTGTTCTGTTTTCCTCTCTGTTGTTTTAAGCAACAGTATTTTAATTAAAAGCAATAAAATAAAATTAAATCCTGACTTTGTTTGGTCCCTTTTTATATACTGCAACAGGAGGAATGCATCTTGATGGTTGGAAATCTACCACATATGAGGGGAACACAACTCAACACAACACCTGTGTGTGTTTAATGTGCTGCTTCACTGAATCCATTTAATTTCAGCCTGTTTTAAAAATATTTAATTATATATATATAAATGTTAAATGGACTATATAGCACCTTTCTATCTTGTCGATACTCAAAGTCCTTTACACTAAAATCTGTGCCCTCATTTACCCATTCACACAGCACTCTACTAGATCTCTACAAAAACTAATCAGTGCTGTAACACATTCATACACCGATGGGACACACATCGGAGGCAACGAGGGGTATATATATATATATATATAAACAAACCAATTCTTAGATATTGCATAAAATTTAAATATACAACTCAAAAATGATGTGAGACGTGCAGGCTGAGTTAAAAGAACATTTGTTACAGTTTGCAATATTATATTATAAATAGTTGTGCTGTATTTGTTTCTTTCCTCGCTCTAAGGCAAAGTCATATGAATGAGCCACTGCAAAACAAACAAACAAGAAAAAAAAATCTCAAGTTTACTGCATTTAGAAAACAGTATCTTTATCACATTCTAAATATTCAGGCTTTTGAGAATACTTTTAAATACATAAATAATAAGAGCTTCACTTTATTTAAATGACATGCTGGAGTTGAAATTTTAAACCTATTTTTTGTACTTTAAATTGCTTTTTTTTACATATTGATGAAAAATAAACTTTTTCGATTATTAATTTAATGAAAATTTATTTGTCGTTTAATCAAAACGGAAACAGTCATAGTGGCAACTAACCTGCGATGAGTTTGACGAGGGTGCTCCTGTCTCCGTTGACGGCTGCAGCATGAACCTGGGAGTCTAGAGGAGTCGGTCCTGAGCTGGACGCCACTGAGGCCTGGAACAAAAAAATAAAAGATGGAATGTCACGACTCGACCTGAAGCAACGCACACTTCATATGAAGTGGATAATTTAATGAGAGGAGGCAAATTTCTGTTCATGCAGTTGTTCTGGACACAACTTACATTTGGACAGAGACAGGTTTAGTCGTACTCAAATATATGCCACATAAATCTATAAGAACACACTAAATTTAATGGAATTAAAAATCAAACCAGAGAAAAAATTGTTATTAAACTTACCTCAACATAATTATTTTTTTTCCCACCATTAGCCATTTAGCTGACCTGAAGCTGAAGGGGTTAATTTACACTTCTACTGTGGTCTAAATTAATAGATAACAATCACAGCGGAGCTTATAATAAAACATTTTATACCTGCTTCTTATTCCAGGCTAATATTAAACACCGGAGGCTCTGTTTGCAGTCACACACATTAAAACACACACTTTCCAATAACACAATGAAGAAGCTGATGTGTGCTAACAGTAGGTGTGTGTGTGTGTGTGTGCACTTGTACGCTGGGTGTCTTCCCCGCTGAGGGGGTTAAATCTCTTCCTGGCCCCAGTTAACCAGAGCCCAGTGAAAGCTGGGTAATCTGCAGACAGGAAGCAGCTGGGGAAGGTGGTGGTGGAGAGGGTGGGGAGGGGACCCTGTGTGAGCATGTAAGAGGGGGGTCTCTCGCTTCATGTCTTATTCATGTCTCATTAATACTGCAGCACACGCCACGCTGCGTTTGTGTGTGTGCGTGCGTGCGGGCGCTGGGTTTGGCGAGCCCTGCGGGGCAAAACACAGAAATCAATTATTGCCCCTAAACACAGAAACGCTGGAGGCAAAAACTCATGATCCAATATGAGATCCGTCCTGAGACATTTTCATCAGCAATCTTGGAATTGGATCTTGTTTGCCAAATAAAAACACTTAGGATAAGCAGGTTTATTACGCCGGGTTTTTTTTGTTGTTGAAAGCTTTCAAGGTCAAGGTCAAGGTTTCTTTATTGTCATCCGTAGGCCTGTCGCAATAAACAATAAATCAATTAATCGCATGATAAATGAAAATTATCGACCTCATTTTCATTTATTGGCTTTATCCTTTGTCTCTCTCTCTTTCTACTGAAGACACTGGATGACAAAAGGCTCAACTCTGGTGCTCTTCACTGACCCCGCCCTTTCTCTTTTTTCTTTAAAATTTGTTTTAACGATCCAAAGTTGTGTTTTTTGGATCGTTAAAAGCAGCTAAGCTGAGAAGCTAAGCTACGAGTTAAGATAACAGGCCAACTTCGGGAAAAAACCTGCGTCTTGTCGAAGCTCCAAATTCACTGTTGAAACATGTGCCTTCGGGTAAAAAGTTGTTTTCTCTGCAAAAGAAGATGAGAACTTGTTTACTGATTTTTTTTTTAATTAAAAGCTTTGTGTGACAAATGCTATGCCAAAGATCTCAAACCACACCGAGCATTCGCCAGTTAGAGAACCGAAGAGAGACAGCCCATGTCACGTCAAGGGGCCTCTCTCCCATTTTTCTTAAAGAGACCCGCCGCTCGCTCCCTCACTAGCCGTCCTTGGGTTCAAACAATCTTATACTGTCATCCGGTGGTCGAAAAAGGTACTACACATAAAACAAATTAACAAACATTGTGTCTTAAATTGGACAATAATTGCTAATTATTGTCAAATTTCAAACAATATTTTCGTTTATCGCAATAATTTCTGAGACAATTAATTGCCCAACAAAATTTGTTATCGTGACAGGCCTAGTCACATGTGGTACATGTGGCGGAACAAAATTGTGTACACATGGTCCCAGTTACATACAACAAAAGTATAAACTGTAAAAGAAGAACAGTAATAAGATCTAAGATATGAACTAAGAAATGCGCTGAACTAAGAGTATGCTAAGCACTAATAGTACAGAAACAATAAGCCGAACAACAGCAGCACGAACATGAGTCTGTGTGAGCAGATGAGTACGAATGAACACAGCAGCATGAACTAAACCAGCAGCTTAAGATCAGCAGCATGGACAATCAGCAGCACGTAACAATCAAGTGGCATTACAGTGATTTTTTTTCATAGTGATAATCCTGATTAGAGATTCATGAGTCTAACAGCTTCAAGGTAGAAGCTGTTCCTCAGTCTAGTGGTTCTACACTTAATGCTCCTCAACCTTCAGCCCGAGTGTGAAAAAGTGTGTGTGCTGGAAGAATCGTTCAAATTCTCTGTCGGGTTAGTGAGGCCTTTGAAGTATAGGGGGGAACACTTTGGTGTCCTCCCGTTCCCCTCTCCTTCCCCTCGGTCACCTCATAAAAGAACGCTCCTGTCGACACTGCGTGCAGCGTGGCAATTACCCATCATGCTTGCCATTTTCTCACGCTTTGCCAAGTGGTGGCAGAGACTTAGAACGGCATAGTTATTACGTTTCCTGCAAGGAAAAGCGTTGTGCGTGTAAAAGAGGGTGGGAGAAAACAATGGAAGATGCAGCACTTTATAGGTGTGTGTGTAATTTTGTCTGTGTGTGTGCTTGGCACATGTGCCATGTCATGGGAAGTGATTTTTTTTCCGTGAGGGGGGAAAGTTTGTGCAGGCACTTTACCAAAATGGACCACAAAGTTCTCTAAATGTCTCTAATTAACAATTACTAAGCCAGTAGTGCAAATGAGTACACATGCAGTCTGCAAATATCAAACACATGCAGAAAGAACACACTTTTTTTAAAAGTTATTTTATTTCTGGTGGTAAAATCGTGTTTCAAATTAAAGGCTTAGCTTTCGCCTTTTTCACGCCAGAGTTTTAGACTAAGACCATTTTATGATAAAAAGGGACAAATTTATAACGGGTAGTCAAACCTTGTAAATGACTTTATGTGCAGTCTCATATTGTGAGATTTTGTTAAATCTGTTAAAGCTCAAAGTATGTGTTGAGGATGACTCTTGAGTTTCTACCACATTAAATTTTAGCTTTTTATTTGCAAAACTGATTGAGTATAATCATTTTTGTGATGGTTAAGTTCAATTAGTTGTGGAGGCCATCTTAAATAGGACAGCCTTCAGAAGTTAAAGAGTTGTAAATATACATTCAGTGGTTACTTTCTGAGACCGTCAGTAGAGTCCATCCAGTGGTTCATGAGATATTTTGCTAACAGACCAAGAGGGTTGACATTAGCAACTAAATCCAGAGTTTTAAGCAAAGATGCTGCACAATGTGTGAGTGCTGAACATATGTCTTGTGAATGACTCTCAGCTAGCAACACATCAGATTTTAGCTCAATATCTGTAAAATTCACAGAATTATTATCATTTTTGTGCTTGCTAAGGTTGTTTGGCTGTGGTGGCAATATTGAAATGGTTGACTCAAAAAGTTAAGCAGTTGTATTTGTACAGCCATTGATTGTTTTCCGAGAGTTTCATTCAAATCCACCATGTCATTCATCAGATATTTTGCGAACACAGCAAGCACACCATGTAGCTTTTTATTTTTAACTTAAGCGTTGGGCAATAAATAAAACTACGACAAAAAAGACAGTCTGACATTGTGCCTCTTCTTTGTAATAAACTTGCTCTAAACTTTTCCTTCCTTTATGTTCATTTATTTGGTTCCTTTTTAACATTTTTCAAGTCTGCTTGAAAGCCCCCAGCTGCTACGACAATATGACACATTGATTGTGAATAATCTTAAATGCAGGGAGGAGAAAAAAAAGAAGTTCCAAATTAACCGAACAGTGGCATGAGAGGCCCGGATCGATATCTGAATCTGTGTGTGGGACATTCATGACTGCGGCGCGCAGGCCGTTACGGTTTCATGAGTGTTTTGGAAACTCCCACAGTGCGTCCAAATTTGGCTAAAAAGGCTTCAGTGTCTGAAATCGAACAAAGGAAGGCGTAAAAACAACACAAGTTCCCGTTGAGAGGTTTGGAGTGGTCTCATTTAGCTATTCATATGTGTTCCTCAGGGAGCTCTCCGCTTGTTAATACGAAGACAATAACTCAGAGTAAACCATTGATCACCGGCCGAGGTCCAGACCAAGTGATTGTGCATCTGTATGAGGATCGATTCATGCTGATGCTGACATTATTTAGTCTTTATTCATATTCCGCCAAATATAACCAAGTTTTTTTTTATTTTATTTAACAAAGGATCAAGACGCTCTTATGAAACCTTTCAGCAACACTACAGGTGTGCGGCGCTCATACGCTGCGGCCTCCTGGAAGACAAACTGAAACCAACATTTCAATAGATGCTATTGAGACAAACAGGTAAAGGAAGTGGGGAGTCCAGTGTGTACGCGCGTGTGCACATCGCGTCCGCCTGAATGGATTCCTAGCTGTCCGTCACAGCGACGGTGTCTGCTTTTGACAGAAGACGGCGTCGCGGCGTGCTGGGTAAGCAGAGGGGAACTGAGTCTGAATCTGTGGCCTTTTCAGCTGTGGAGGTGCAAACGCACTCGCACACAGAAAATCATGTTGTTTATAGTTTATAAAGATATACTTTTACAGTTTATGAGTTAGAGCAGAATGTGTTCTTAGTCAACATGGGGGCTATTATAGGTGCTTGTGCCGCCTACGTGCCTACTGTGCGTCTAAACATGCCTCAGAAAAAAGATAGAGACCACAGGAATCAAACCCTGGGTTCTGACTGACAGGTGAAGCAGGAGGGAGAAGGATAATATCAGCCCTCAGGGATGCTCAATCTGCAAAGCCCTATTTCTGGGAGACTCCCCGGTTCCCCAAAGACCAATGATCTGGCTCCCTCAACCTGGGGGGCCGAGCCCTGGGGCACAGTGGGGCCAATCAGCAGGAGGGGTGAGGGCTGAGTGACATATAGATCTGCTAATTTACATCATTACCACAATGCATCCTGACAAATGAGCCCCCAGGGCCTGAGCCAATCATCTGGGAGAGTAATGCAATTAGGCGGGACCAGAGCTGTCAGTCTCACAGCCACGGGGGTCAGTTAGTGGTGCCTGAGGCTAAAACGCCCCTACCTGCTGCCTGTCTTTCAACGTACATAAAATATATACACATTAGCAGTATGGCAACAGATTATTGCATACTTATGCAGCAGTGTGTGCATGTGTGTGTGTGGCTTTCTATCATCAGGTGAGTTGATGCAAAATGGCTTGTGTCCTCTGAGACAAAACACCTGAGCGCTCGCATATCTGCATCCACCTGGGTGTGTTTGTGTCTGTTTGTGTTTGCCCATATGTTTCAGTTCACTGGGGAACAGTGTGGTGCGCACAGAGCCCAAGCTTGGTGCCATGACGATGAGGCGAAGAGGCCGTCACTGTAAGGAGCTCAAACTTGGAAAAAGCTTTAGTTTGACCGACAAAACTGGCTGGTCTCATTATCGCTCGCTGAGCAACAATGTTGTTACCCACATGGATGTGTGTGTGTTCATTTAGCAGACCGTCTCACAAACTATCAAACGAATTTTAAGGAACAAATAAAGTGCTCCAGATTTTAATCAAACTTTTAAAAAGTAATCACTGGCTGTCATAGCAAACTGAAGTCACACAAAAATGGCTATACCTCGGTGTATTTTACCGATACTAAGCTAAAGTTTGGCGTGGTAGTGGCTGACAGTTTTTCACAACACTTACACCAAGCTAGAGCTGTCACTTCGAACCAGAACCTGGAGCCTGGCCTTGCCCGACCCGGATTAGGACCGGGCCATAATAACGTGCGGGCAAGGTCAGTGCTGGGCTTTTGATTGTGTCAGTGGATGCGCGCGGCTGACGATCCAATTATATGGCAACATGGCTTGCCATACAATCACCACATGTGGCTATTTGACTGATGCTGATCGGCTTAGAAAAAGATAAAAAGTTAATTTAAGCTTCAGATGGACTACTGCCAGAAATCCATCAGCCCAAATGGATATTCAGCCAATGCACTCAGCGGAAGCGCACGGCCGACGACCCAAACAGGTGAGATCACAAAATATCTGACATGTCAGAGCAGGGTCCGTGTCTGAATAATGCAGAATGCAGGCAGAAGCAGGGATTAATGCGCTTCAACGGCCATGAAAGGATAAACACCCTGCACACGTCCATCTACCGTTAATAACTATAAGCAGTCAAAGCTTAATTAAAAAAAAAAATGGGGTGGGTGTTCGGGTTCGAACCTGTAATTACTGTTAATTTGTAGGGTCGGTTGGGGTTCGGAAATTATAGCTATGGGCTGGGGCCAGGTCGAGTCGGATTTTTTTGGGCCTGAATCCAACTCTACTCCAAGCACACACGACATCACGATATCACAAGAGAGTGTTATTTTCAAGGCTTAACCAAAATGGCTATAACTGTGATTAATGTTGTGACTGACAGACTCCTCCTCCTCCGTTTGGCCAATAAAAGGGAGAAGAAAAAGACGACACTATAGAGAAACAAGTTCTGCAGCAACGAGCAGAGAGAGTGGCTCTCACCTTTGCTGTTCAGTTCAGCTTCAGCTCCAGACACTCCTGAAGTCATAGGAGCTGTGTGTTTTGTATCATCACATTATATCACTAATGAGCCGCCTCCAGGAGGGAGGGGAAGGAAAGGAGAGACACAAAGCAGACAGAAAAATGGAAAAGGAGAATGAGTAGAATGAGGAGACAGAAACAAGAAGGAGGGGGGAGGGAGACAGATAGACCAGCTTGGGGACGTTTTCCCTCTTCTTGGCTCTCCATCCCCTATTTCCTTCTACACCTCTGAGTCTAATTGGACTAAAACTGTGATCTAATTAAATGGCCAATTAAAGTGCAGAGAGCAATGTGCCCACTGGCGAATCAGTACAGGGACACAATCAGTGAGAAAAACAAACAAAAATCAATGTGAGAGGTGCAAAATGGGAAAAAATAAGGTGGAAAAAACAAAAAAGAAAGGATACAATGGTCAGATTAAATCAAATGATGGTTAAGCACTGTGGGTGGGATAGTTATTACAAACTTGAACCAAAAACAGTGCAACTGAATTCAAATTTTTAAAGCAAAAATTTAATTTGAAACATTGTGCTGCAAGAAAACCATTATTCTGACTTGACTGATGAAAGAAGTCATCATTACGTAGGGTATTACTCTTTTTTAAACAGGATTAAAAACACTGATTTCTTTCATTTATATCATTTACAAGTTTACAAAGAAGTAACAGAGTCTAAAAAATGTTGCATATTTTATTCCAGTCCAATTCATTTTAGTTTTTATGTCTTTGGGTCAAAAACTGAAATGTTCTTATTTATTTACAGAACTTTGTTAGGCTTTGGTTGTTTTAAGCACGCTTCATAAATAACGTTGATTTGATTTATAAATCAATTTATTATGGTCAGATTCAAAATAAATTCTATCAGACTTGTTCTAATTCAATCACACTATAATCCAATTTAGCAATTTCATATTTAGTAAATATAGAAAGTCAATTACTAAAATTAATAAGTGAGTAAAGTCTTTAAGTACACACGCTTCCTAAAATGAGTGTTTGCTGGACTTTTGTTTTTGTTTCAAAGCTTTTGAAAAATCAAAGTTTCCATGTTATTTAAATGGCGTTTTTTTTTTTTTTTTGTCTCTTCTGATTCGTAGATAATACACTTTTGTATTATTATCTGAACAAAGACCTATTAGACTGAATATGATTTAAGAGCAAATTCTTTTGGGTTATGTTTTAGCAACATTGTACCCTTTTCAACAAATATATTAATAATGGGTAAAACAATAGAAGTGTTTCATAATCAAAATAAAAGCACCAAAGTAACAATAATGTATTAGTACTGCCACTGTAATTTATTTATCTTTATATATAGTATCTTTTAAAATATTGTTAACCCATTTAATTAGTAAAACTTTTTTTACATACTCTAAAACAATGTTTTTAAACCTTTTTAGCTCCTGATTCATAAAATGATTGAGGCCTGTGCATATTGGTTTAAAATATACAAAAACTGCTAATAACTTCATTAACGTCATTAGGGAGAGTGGTGGCGCAGAGGTTAGAGAAGGTGGGTCTGTGATCGGAAGATCGCCGGTTCAAGCCCCTGTACTGACAACATCAAAAATGTGGGTGGAGTAGGTGAAGCACTCACACCTGCCTCCACCCTCATTCGCCCCACTCTGGGCCCATGAGCAAGTCCCTTAACCACCATCTGCTCCCTAAACAGGTCTCTCTTGAAAATGAGTTCTCGTGGCTCAATGAGACTACCTGTATCAATAAAGGGTAAAAAAAAAAAAAAAAACTTAATTAAACGTGGGACAACTTGCAAATCCATAACATCCATAATATATTTTTATTAACTTATTACTACCGCTTTGATTCCTTGTAACAATTTTGGTGAAAACCTGACATAAGCAATCATTGAATGTACGTTAATGTCAGGAGATTTTCTAGTGTGTTTTGTAACCCACAATGGGGGTCCCGACCCCAACATTGGGAACCATTTGCTCTAAGAACATCACATCCAACATCATTCAACATTTCAAGACTAGTTAGATAAAATCAACTTGCTTTTATTTGGTAAAGTAAATTAAAACTGAGACAGTTTTCAGAAATACACTGTAAAAAAAAGGGTTTTGAAACATGTTAAACAATTGCCACTTCAATCACTTAAATTTGTTTTCAATTAATAGATATCTATGATTTTGGTGCAATACTAACTTATCTTAACTAAATATTCCACTAACACTTGAAACCTAAAATGTCTAGTTTAAATGTAACTATTTGTCTACGGAGGATTTAAACTAATAAAGTGAAATTTAGATACATTTTTTAAAATTTAATCAGTTTGTTTCAGTAGCTTTCCAGGTAGTTTTTTTTACTGGCAAAGCCTCTAAAAATATAGAGTATACCTTGTTACACCAAATTTATTGGTTAAAGTTAGATCAAACTGTTTGTTTTTTTTGTGTACTGAGTATTGCACGTGAGGCTTTTCTTTCACAAATAAACACTCTAGAGACAATTTAACAAAATACAGCAAATTGTCATACTTTTACTGTAATTGATATATACAGTAGAAGCACTGATGGGAAGGTGTTTTTGTTGAGTTTACAGTAAATATTCAGGTTGGGAGGAATCTTCCTCTCTCCATCTGTGAGTATCTCACACACTGTGAACCCCCTGTGGACAGCTTTAGCCCATAAAATATTAATGCTGGGATTCAATTCAACATTCCATTTTAATCTTCTTAACAATTAGGGGATTTGCGACACACACAATTAGCTTTTTACACACAGTCTCAATGGCCTTGACTCCTGAGGGATAATTAGGAACCAGAAATATTAAAGTGACCAATAGATATGAGTACAGACTACAGAGTGACACTTCTGGGATTTAGACCTGAATTTAAATGTTATACGTAGCTGCTTTCTGAGTATTAAATCCTTACCATATTTGGATTGAGGGTGGGACACTTCAACAGATTTTTCACAGATCATTGCATCCTCAGTGGGTGTGAAAGCATGTCCAGATCCCCAACCTGGTCTGATCCTGGATCCTGCGAGGACACAGAAAGAGTCTCACTGTCATACTGAGACTAACCCACCTGTTCACACAAATAACTGCCAGCATAACACAAATATACCAGGATGGTTACAAATAGAAAAGAGTGACCGTTTTTATTTATTTTGATCATTCACCTAATCTGATGTGGTGTTTGTGAGTCTTTTCAGCTGGGTTAAAAGTTACAAGTACTTGTTGTAAACTATGAAATCAAACATAAAAATACAAAGGTATCTTGAAATATATCAAATGGGGCACTTTGAAATAATTTACTCCAGATGTTTTTTTTCAGATATATTGATTATGCAGTTCTGAAATACAGGTATGCACTCAATTTAAACAAAGTATTTTTGTTGGATTGCTTTGCTCAACAGATCTATATGTAAATATGTATACATATCAAAATTATCTGAAGTCTAATTCCCAACTAGCTCTTCCATGGATGTCCACATCGTTGATCTATTTGAGATGATTTTGACAGTTTGCATAGGTAAACAAACACATGGTAGAATACTTCGGATCACAAAATTTGATTATTTAAATTTTTTTTTAAAGACATTGGTCACAGATATGAGAAAAAAAATGTGTGCAGATTGAGTTTTTTACTTTTTGTGCTTTTTCTTTGTGCTCATGCAGATGTTTGAATGACCCAATCATAAGATATATACTTTTATGGCTTTGAAAGCTAAAAGAAAAAATGTAAAAGATCTTGAAGTGTTGGGCATTTGCGTACATGAACACGCTCTTGACTTCATGTGTTTTAAGGGACATTTTTGTTTTGTCTTGATTACATATAACCCAATAATCAGTCTACCACTGAGTTGGGGGAAAACAGTACAGTAATACAAGTTTAACTACAGTGATGCAACTCTTCTGCGCTTAAAGAAAACAGTTTCTCGTTTACTTAGTACGAATCTAGTAAGTATAACAGTTATTCAATTTAAATTTTGATTAGGTGCTCTATTATGTTTCGCTCGTTCGCTGTCATATTTACCCTTAAAATCCTTTTTTTTTCTCAAGCGAAAATCTTCAGAAAGTTTTCCTCCCAAACGTCCCGTTGGACCACAGCCGTAAACACTACAACTCCCGTTACAGTGCCGAAGGGAAAATACAAACCGCCATGATTGGAGTTTTCCACGCCGTGTTGGTTTCTTCTACTGCCGCGCTAAAAACTACATTACCCAAAAAGCTTGTTCGCTACCAGGAAGTGTATCTCAGGTTTCCGTGGTCACCGTGAGATCGGTTCGCCGTTTGTTTCCTGCTGCAGAGAGAGAAGAGCGGCGTCGAGACTGACAGGGAAGACAGAACACCACCTCCTTCAATAACTACTGCATAAAATGAAACTGTTAGCAGCATCTTCCTCTCTCGACATCCGTTTGGTCACTGTTATACTACTGGTGAGCGTCTTAATTTCAGGTTTAGACTGTAGGCTGCATTTATCGAGCTAATGGTGATAGCAGATAGCGGTGTTAGATTAGATAACCGATAAATGTCTAACTGGTATCAGACCTAGCTTAAAAACAAGCATGGATGATTTTAAGCATTCTAAAACCAACATAATGTCGAACTGCTACTAACTTTTGGTGAGAGGTTTCAAATATCCTGTTAGCATTAAGCTAACTTGATAGCTTACATGTCTAACCCTGATAGTATAAGTAACTGCTAATTGCCAGCATTAAAGCCTGTTGTTTGCCTCCCTATTTAATTGGACTCGACATTTATTACGGCTGTACAAAGTTATATTTGTACTCTTCATGTGCCTCTGTGTGTCTCTAAATTATGCTCGCCGGTTGGTGAATTCCTCTGTTGTGGCTCATTCCTATTGGCTGACAACCCGGAACTACACAGAGCTCAGTTTGGCCTAAAAGAATACTTCACTTTTAGGATTAGGATGCACTGCGATGCTTTACTTAACCGATTTAATCCCAGCACTGTATAAAATAAAACATTTTTATGCAGTTTGCAGCTGCGTCAAAATTTATGCTGTAAGGTCAAACAGATTGAGTATTCTGTCATCTTTTGATACTGGTATCTATCTACTAATTATTTATTTTTGTATTTTTTTTGCTTTTGTTTTCTCAAATCACTTGAATCTTGTTTTGGGTTTAGAACTGTTTTTGTGCAAAAGCAAACTGATTCTATAATTTTTGGTCTTTTAAGAAATGAGCATAATAAACATAATAGTCATTCCTCAGTGCAATAATTATTTTCCTAATTTTATCAACTAAATTAAAGACAAATGTGGATAAAACACCCTCCTTGCATGAATGTAGTTTGTCTGCCAGCTCTGTGTCATGCTTTAAAAATGTGTGGTTCTCTTTATAATCTGTTTAAAGAGGATCTTGAGTCATCACAGACGGTAACAGATAAAGAGATAATGGAAGAGCAGTTTTAACGTTTTCTGATGTAGAGGTTTTGACAAAAGTGGCTTCTTTACATCTCAATAATATAGAAAAATGTTGTTACACTTGTAGAACTGAGAAACAGGTTAAATGAAAGCAAGGTTTGATGGTACAGCTCTTTGTTCTATCGTGTCATTTGAGTTAAAAAAAATAAACTTTTTGAGAATAATTAAATAAAGCAACAGATGTCTTTTAACTTTCATATCTCTGTATATGGCAGCTTTCTCTAGCAGCGATGTTCTCTATCCCATTTCACACTGTGATTTTCATTATAACCTTGAATTTTTCAGTTTTATAATATGTAGGGTTTTTATTTAATCCAGGGTTGCAACAAGAGCTGAATAAAGCATTCTAATTTTTCCACATCATTATAACAATTTTTTTTGGCTCAAAAGTCCAGCTAAAATAACTGAATTATTGAATGATGTAAGAAAAAGTTCACCTGAACTGACCTCAACCCTTTTGTTGGTAAAAAATAGCTGATTAGGTTAAGCAACTTGGATCCTCCTCTTAACCATTTTACTCTGACAACAGATGTAACAGAAAATTGTTGTAGATTTAGTCATGACACAGTATTTTAGGTAACTCTGGTTCTTACAAAATTGTAATTTTAAACTTTAAAGGAATCCCACTATCCTTAGTATGTCTCAACTCATTTTCCCTAATAGACTATGTCTGAAGATGTTGGACAAAGCAACAGGTAACATCATTTGAATAACCAAGTATGTGGTCCAGAAGAATTGTGACGTCTATTTGACTAAAGAATAATGCATTTACAAAGGAAAAACAAAAGTAAGGCTTTCAAACTCGTTTCTGTTATTTGTGTGAGGCGGTGAATCGTCTTTGAGTGAGCCTGCGTGCCTCTAAACTTGCAGTTCTGGTTTTGAGATGTCAAGCAATATCACACAGAAAAACATAATATTGATGTTATTTGTTTTTCTGCACCTGAGGAACCAGTCATAAACTCAAGCAAGTGCAGTAAACGTTACACGGTTATGAATTAATCAAAGATTATTAAGAGGCTAAATGAATGTAATAAGCACAGTCTGTTCCTTCATTTGGCGCTGGGCAACATGTTAGCATGTTGGTGTACTATTTAAAATGTGTATAGAGCGATAGTTACTGAAAATATTTAATTTGATAAAAAATACTCTGTGGTGTTGTCACAAACATGAATTAGCATTATTTATTTTTTCCCATGGTTATGCAAAACGACTGGTCAAGCTGGGAATGTTGTTCTGTTCAGTTCAACCAGTCTTTCTAGCACTGTGTGTGTTCACAACATTCAAGACTGAAGATTAAGTTGATATGGTGGTTCCTAAGGCCTGAATGGAATGATGTTACCTGGTGTTCAGCTAAGTCGCACATGCTGCTGCATTTACTGACTTATGTATATTTGTTTTAGCTGCTAATCCGTTTGGTCCATGTGTGTCTGCAGGTGATGGGCCTCTCTACTCCAGGACAAGCAGAAATCACCAGTCTGGACTCAGGCAACATTGATGATATTCTAAGTAAAAGATCATGCTTTTATTTTTTTTGGAAGTGATTAAACATAAACACTGTTTTCGTCTAATCATAAACCAGGTGTCAAAAAGTCAAATTAATGTAGATTTTAATCTGCTTTTAAATGATTTTCTAAACATGTGATTTTAAAGGAAATGCATGCTGGTCTTTGTGCTGGAGGAACAAAGCTGTAGTTTTCTCCTGGATGTTTTCCAAACGCATTACAATTGAAATGTTGGATTTTCTGTGATGGAGTTAAATTCAAAGCAGTCTGCTCCTCAACTTATTTTTATATAGCGTATATGAACGTTTCTGTTCAGTGCCCTGAGACGACTTCTGTTGTGACATGGTGCTGTATAAATTAACTGAACTGAATTAACTCCGTTACACATAAACCTCGAATTCAGTTTTACATTTTTTATTTTCAGAATTGTTTTTGTGTAGTTTCCTTTAATGACAGAAAACTGAATGGTTTATGTTTATCTATTTTTTTACTAATAAAATATTCAGTTATATATACTGGTACTTGTATATTATCAGAAGTATATTATCTTATAAAATTATTTCTTGGTTGTGTGTTTCCTTCCAGATAATGCTGGTGTGGCATTAGTGAATTTTTATGCTGACTGGTAGGTGTTTTTCTTAAAACTCTTGAGTTTTTTTATTTTTTATTTGATCTTTTCAGATGGTGTCATAAATATAAATTGGTCATCTTAGCTACAGAATTTGCTGATTTATTCTATGTAACATATATATTTATTGTCCCATTTACGTCATAATTTTTGTACTTACTTGAATTCTGTATAGATCTCTGAGTAATATCCTATTGTGAATTTTGTACAGGTGTAGATTCAGTCAAATGCTCCATCCGATTTTTGAGGAGGCATCAAACATAGTGAGAGAGCAGTTTCCTGATACGAAACAAGTGGTGTTTGCTCGAGTCGACTGTGACCAACATGGTGAGTATGACTATTTTGCGTTTTATAATAACATTATTGAGTGAATTACTACATAGTTTCTGTTCGTATCTTCACTCAAGGACATAAACTCTTCAGCAATGTTAGGCAGGTTGCTTTAAAATATTATTTTTCTGAGCCAAAATTATTGCTCAACCTACAATTCCTAATTAAAAAAATTAGAATTTTAGTTTTTAAACCTTTGTGAAATTTTTAAATTAAGAATAAAAATGTGAACACTGCACAAGGTTGTTAGGGAATTTGTCCTTTAGCAGGCTTGGTCTTGACCTTGAGCTTTTGTCAGCGATCTTTCCTGCCACAGACTCGACTCTTCAGAAGCCCAAACCCTTGGAAGGGCTTTTCCAAAATGTCTTTGAGCTCACGTGTGTTGTGTTTTCAAAATCTCTCAAACTAATGTATAGATTTTAATGAACCTTCCTAAAGTTATCATTGGATGTATGTCTACAATTTATTATCTTTTGGAGACAACTCTATTCAAAATGGCCACAACAGCAAAGGGACCTTAGCAAAAACAAATAAGGCTAAAAGTCAGCCAATTTGGCAAATATTAAATTAGGTGTGGTAGTTACTAAGAGTCATCCTCAACACATACTGTGTGAGTACTAACATATCTTACAAGATCTCATAATATTGTATCAGATTGCACAAAATGTAATTTAAGTTTGTATGAAAATAACTGTCATTATTCAACATAAGAATATATTAGCTTAAAACTCTGGCCTTAAAGGCAGTGGTTATGTATTCCTGGAAGAACATTTATTTTAGTTGCATTTATCCATCCCACGGTTGGATTTTTATGTGAGTTTGTGTCTGTTGAAAAGCTAATTTTGTTTAAGTTTCAAGTGTCTACCTGACATGTGTCTTCAGAAACAACCCATTGTCTTATAACCCTTATAATTTCTTTCATACAGACACATTTTCTCTGTCTGCTATAGAGCTGGGAAATCTCTTTGTATAACATTTAGTTTTATTGTGAAGCCTGGGTGTCACTCCTTCTAGCTATAAGAGCTAGAATTCTCATTCATTCAACCTTTATTTATACAGTTTAGTTTTGTCATGAGGACTCATTTTCAAGAACAAAGACTTGTTTTAAACAAAAAAGAAAAAACACAGATAAGATACACACCATGATAAACAGTCATAAAAATTATATAAAATGAAAAGCAAATAAAAGTAGTGGTATAAAACAAAACAAGAACGAGCTGCATTATGAAACGGGGTACGATGCTAAAAACGGGAACATGTCTCCATTGGTTTTTGCATTGAACTTAACAGTGGTGTAAAATCCCTTAGAGAGGTCAAAGTGGACAGCTTCAGATATATTTGCAAGGTGTTACACGAGTGGAGTAAGAGAAAGCCCTTTTGCCAAATTCAGTTCGCATTGAGGGTACGCTGCAGGTAATGATGTTTTGAGAGCACACGTTGTAACTGCACTGATGATGTGACATGTAGGAGGAGATATATGAAGGTAGCAGTAAAAAAAAAGCAGATAAAAAGTCATAATAACCAGCAAAATTTTCAAAACAAAAGTGCAGCTATGGTTAAAAGTTGAGTTTAAGCCAAAAAAAACCATGTTAACAGTTATATCAGTGAAGGAGCAATATGACCTTCAGAAAGTTGTAAAAGACACGCGTCATAAACTCAGTTTACAGGTTAGTTTTTATCTCATTGACATCACTCTAGACCAAAATAAAATTTTTATTTTCTTATTGACACTCTCAAAAACAAAAGTAGCTTGTTGCAAGGCCAGGTGATAAATTGACAAATTTCAACAAACTTCGTATCATTTTGAAGCTTTTGAGATGGAGAATTTAAAATAAAAATCACGTCAGTGTTGGAAAAACTTCTCATTGTAAGTCATTTTGCCTGCACAGGTCACAATTTCATTTCTCTTTTTGTACATGCGTCTAACTGAGGTGTTTGCAGTGTTCTCTGTATTTTTAGTATGCGTACTAGTGTTGGAACAACTTCTTTCTATTCTGAATTCAAGATGTGGATGGGATTACAGCGACCAACCAGGTGTAATAGAAACTGCTGATAACACTTTGCAGCAAGAACGTTCTTTTTTTACCCCATTCACACCAAAACGAATAAAATAAAAATTATACCCTTTTTAAGTCGTCGATGTTCACCTTGTGGATAATCCAACAGGCCAAACACGGGGTGGCTCAGCACCTTGTCGGTGTGCGTTTACACAGTAAGCAAGCAACACAGTATCTGCAGTGACAACAGCATGGTTGATCAGAGCTTCACATTCTGCAGCGCCTTCTCTCCCTCACACACGTCTTAGTCATGTGGACGTGTGTCATTCTGTACCAGAAAAACAACGCGTTTAAGAAATTCTCAAACGCTTAATACACAATAACTTTACAGCTGCAAGAAAATTTTATCATTTTTTTCCCCTGTTGCTGTTATGCACAATTTAAAATAAATATGCAAGCTAGAGCGATATTTACTTGTTTGGCTTGAGAGTTTGCAGAAGGTGGGCCTGTGATCGGAAGGTCGCTGGTTCAACTCCCTTGACAGACGACATCAAAATGTGAGTGGGAAAGGTGAAGCACCCACACCTGCCTCCACCCTCATTTGCCCTACTCTGGGCCCTTGAGCAAGGCCCTTAACCCCCACCAACTGCTCCCTCAGGTGCCCTAAATAGCAGCTCTCTGCTCCACACAGAGGGCTGTGGTAGCTCGGTGGTCTGGTTTCATCAGAAAGGGCATCCGGCGTAAAAAGTAACCAAGTCTTTGTGCAACTTAGTTCTCTGTGGCGACCTCTGAAGAAGGGAGCAGCCGAAAGAAGAAAAAGAAGAGGCTTGAGAAACAAACATTATTCATTTGTAGCTGTTTGTTTGTGTTTATGTTAAATTTACTATGCAAATGATTAAAATATTAATATTGTTTGTGGCAAAAGGCAATAAGACTGGGAAACCCATTTTGTTCACTTCTCTGTATTTCATGAGATGAGACATTCACACTTGTTTAATAGTAAGAAGGCCTAAGTGATATCTGTTTACTATGATTAAATAGTCCTAATATTTACCAACAAAATTGTCAAAGCAAAAGTGCCAGCTACGGTTAAAAGTTGAGTTTAAGCCACAAAAAAAAAACAAGTAGACAGATTTATCAGTGAAGGAGCAATATGACCTCAGCTTCAGAAAGTAGTAAAAGATGTCATGAACTCCGTTTGCATTGGTTATTTTTATAAGTTGCTTTCTTCTATAAACAGCAAACAACAATAAAAAGTGTACGGATACACACTTACTGTATTTGATGCACATGTGCACACAAAGATGTCTGACACACCAAAGCGTGCGCACGTAAACCACCAGCCACAGCCTTTTGAGATAAAGCAAATTAAAGAGAATTATTGATGACCTGCAAACTGTTTGAAGACTAATGACAAAACTGCTGCTTCCTGTGAAGGCTGGAGGCTTAGAGACACCCCGCAGGGAGATTGACACCTGCCACACACACATGCACACACTCACTGATCCACTGTGCAGTGAGGATATTTACTCTTGGTGGGGTGGGTGGGTTGGGGGGGGGGGGGGGGATGGACTGCTTTCATGTGGGAGATCAGAGCTCAGAGCTGACTGAGGGCAGAGTGTTTCAGACTTGGCTTTAACGGCTCCTCATCCCCATGTGTTTCTACTCGCCTTCTTCTTGCTCTTCATCAATTGATCCAGCTTTCTTTGCTTAACTCCTCTGCCTCTGCGTGCAGCCGACATAGCTCAGCGCTACCGCATCACCAAGTATCCGACGTTGAAGTTGTTCCGCAACGGGATGATGATGAAGAGGGAGTACAGGGGTCAGAGGTCAGTGACCGCCATCGCGGACTTTATCCGCCAGCAGCAAGTCGACCCAGTGAAAGAGTTGCACTCTGTGGAGGAGGTTAATACTCTGGATGTAAGTGGACAATACACACATTCTGTCCAATAACATACAAATGTGTACCTCAAAGAATAAAACGCTTGTTTTGCATTAACAGAGGAGCAAGAGAAACATCATTGGATTCTTTGAAACAAAGGACTCTGATAACTATCACACGTATGAAAAAGTTGCCAACATCCTCCGAGATGACTGCACCTTCTCAGCTGCGTTTGGGTGAGGCACAACCTCACACTTAGGCCCTCACAGAGTTGTAGCTTCAGTGTTGGTCTTCTATTTACAGTTTTGTGTTTCTGATCGTTGCTCTTGCAGTGCTGTATCAGCATCTGAGCGCTTTAGTGGAGATAACGTAATCTACAAACCTATGGGCGAGAGCATTTCCGACATGGTCTACCTCGGCTCGCTCACCAACTTTGACCTGGCGTACGCTTGGGCTCAGGACAAGTGCGTGCCTCTAGTTAGAGAGATCACCTTTGAAAATGGAGAGGTTTGTTTCCTTTTTGATATTGTCCATTACTATAAATACTTGTTAGTAGGGCTGCAATATGACAAAACAAGATTTTCTAATCGCAAAGGCTGCAATTTGACTGGTCACATGATCTGGTTACGTGACTTGCGAGTGAGCGGAGCAAAGCACAGCAGGAAGCAGAGAAGTCAACACTGCTTCTTTAACTGGTTGCACAATGGCGTCAGGCTTGATAGAAGCTGATAATCTGAAAGTTTGGTTCCAAAGAGCGGCAGCACGTCCGTTGTTTGTAATTATTTTGGCTATAAAAAAAGAAGACGCTGCACAACATGCATTGTGCAGAACCTGCCTTGCTGCTGTTGATACCTCTTGAGGTAACACCACAAATTTTTATCAACACTTAAAAAAACACCACAAAGAGCCATTTACGATAGTTGCATGACTAGAATGCCAACGACCAGTGCTTCAATTTAAAGTAAGCAAAGTACCAGTCGACACTGATCGCTGACCGAACTGTTTGAAGCTATTACTTCGTATGAACATATTTCGAAACAGCACGCAGAAATAACTCGAGCAATAACGGAGTTCATAGCGAAAGACATTAATACTGTGACCACGCCTGGGTTTACAGCTTTGGTAAATACAATGGATAAGCGGTACAGAATGCCCTCGCGCACACATTTTAGCCAAGTTGCTATCCCTGAGCTACACAAAAAATGCAGAAACAGAGTTGCAGCAGATTGGTTTATTGTTTGTGTTCATTGAAAAATACATCAGAAGAAGACGTTGAAAATTAATCGCATATTAAATTGCAATATTGAGGTAAAAAAATCGCAATTAGAATATTTTCCTAAATCGTTCAGCCCTAGTTGTTAGGATCAAACTATATGTGCGTGTTTGGATGTGTATATTTACACTAACACTCAGGTCATGGAAGTTTGTGGTTTGCTGCTCTGCCCCAAGAAAAGCCCCGACTTTTTCTGTTTTTGATGTTTTCTGTTTGATGTCCAGGAGCTGACCGAGGAAGGACTACCTTTCCTCATCTTGTTCCATCTTAAAGAAGACACAGAAAGCTTAGAAAAGTTCCAGCAGGAAGTTACTCGCCAGCTCATCAGTGAGAAAGGTGAGTTCATGTCAGGAATGTAAATTTTAGTTAGAAGTGTGTTAGATGTGCTGTTAGTTACTTCAGTCTGTCCTCCTCAGGGTCTATAAACTTCCTTCACGCGGACTGCGATAAGTTTCGCCATCCTCTGCTCCACATTCAGAAAACTCCAACTGACTGTCCTGTCATTGCCATAGACTCATTCAGACACATGTATGTTTACCCCAACTTCCAAGACATTAGGTAAGTACTCTCGTCTTTTCCAACTTTAATAAATTTGTCATTCGCTGCATGATTTCACCAAAACTGAATCTTCAAAGCAATCCAAGAAAATATGCAGAATGCAAATTAAAAATGTTGTCTTTTGTTTTTCTTTACGTGAAAACTTGGCCACAACTGCACGTCTGTATTTGAATAAATCACTTGTTTCAAACAAGCTCACATTCAGCCTTTTTTTTTTAAGTGTTTTTGAGGAATGATTGCCTAATAATGATGAGCGACGTAATATATCACTCACCTGCACATGTAATTTACAACAAGATCTGCTCTTCATAATATAGTCAGTTTTGTCACACACACACACACACGTGCGCGCACACACCATAATCTGCTGTGTGTTGAACACCAGAGAAATGTCACACCTCCTAAAACCTCTCCTTTATGAATGAGCCAGGACACCGGAGCTAATGTGACATGATTTGGCACGTGCAATAAGTGCTAAACTAATCCAGTCTAATCTAATTTAATCTTATTTATTCTGCCCCCCACCACTAACCTCCCATCCCCCTCTGCAACAATCAGGGTCTGATCAGATACACAGAAGCCCGGAGGACTGACTAGCCCTCCACAACCTTATTACATCACATCACTACTGCATGTGGCACACAGCTTGTAATTACATTAGCAGAGGGTTTGTTATATATAAAAACATACATGTTTGTGTGTGTTTGTTGTTCTGACACTCTTTCACACATGCCTATGTGGCATGGTTACATGTGTCATGTCTTTAATGAGAACAATTCATAAGACGGTGTTGATTTTGATTTATGCTTATTAAGAATAAATCTGCAGGAAGTAATATCCTCTGCTGCCACGTCTAGTTTGGTCTCGATGTTGATTACGTCTGACCTGCTTTGTACTTCGAGCAGCTCAGTATTGGACAGACTGTGTAGGAATGCCTGAAACAATGGCGTCATTTGTGTAATTTTTTTTTCTTGTTAAAGTGTGCATATAACTGGGCCTCGTGTACCCCCACCACCACAGACACCCTATGGACACGTGAAACTAGTTGAAGCCTTTGCACCAAAACCAACCAAAAATAAACAGTTTTACTCTCCATTTATGTTTATTTGAAAACAAAGTTCATTCATCTTTGTCATTCTTAATGATTTTTAAAAAAAACTTTTGTCCAAAAGTATTTGTTGCGATTGCTTTATTCAGACGGCCTGAGTTGTAGTGTTCCTCGGCAGCTTTAGTTAAACAGCTAAGCGCTCCCAGCTGTAAAGCGACAAACTGAGCTCAGCGTGTCATTTCCCATTTGCTAACATAAAAACAGCTAGCAAAATGAGGATTGAAAGAGCTTGGTGATATTGGGGTGGTCCATTTTTTGTTGAACACTTGTGTAGCAGACGTGGAATACATTACCACAAGCACTTGTTTTTCAGGGTGGTTGGTGAAAAATATCAAATCTATAAACCGACTCTATAAGGTAATTTGTAATGTTTAGACTAATTTATTAATTTACCTTTTTATTTGTTTGATCTCAGTAAAAATAAGGGATGAATACATTAATTATGGTAACTCTGTGATGAGATCAAATCTACGTGTTGCATCATCGTGTGTCGCTGAAGGTGCTGATCAGCACATGTTGTCTTGTATGTAAATTAGCCACCAGAGCTGCTAGAATACTCTGAAATATGTGGGAAAGTCCAAAGAAAACACAATTAGCTCCAACTCTAAATCTGATTGGTTGATCAAACCATCTATCCAAACTTGCCTCATTTGTTGCAATGGCCTTGGGAATCTGAAAAGGATGGCAATGGAAGACATTCTTTGGTCCACTCAGGCATACTGTGAATAATAAGTGCTATGTGCTGTCGTCATTATGTTCCCATACAATGGTGAAATTGGTTCTCTGCATTTAATCCATTGCACCTGGGATTATACACCCAGGTGGAGCAGTGGGCAGCTATGCAAGCACCCGGGGAGCAATTGGGGATTAGCTGTCTTGCTCAGAGACACCACGACTCCGAGCAAAGCGTAGCATCTAAAGTAACGCAGGGTAGTTAACGGCACTTATTATGATTGTTTAAGTTGCTTCAGCTTTCATCTCAATTTGGTTGTAACAGTTTAAAATTCAATTTGGTTTGACCAAACCGGTACATGTATACATACTGTACAATTATTTCTCATTTTTCTCCACTAGCATTCCTGGTAAACTAAGACAGTTTGTTTTGGACCTTCACTCCGGTAAGCTTCACAGAGAGTTCCACCATGGTCCTGACCCCACAGATAGCACGCCAGGACAGGTCAGTCAGCATCTTCAGCTCGCTCTGTGGACTCTCTGAACGTTTGTTTTTTAATGCACATTTTTAAAGTTAGTGTTGAACTGGACTTTTGTCCTCAGGATGAGGTGGAAGGAGAAGTGGCGAGCAGTCCTCCAGAGAGCTCATTCCAGAAGCTGGCACCGAGCGAGACCCGCTACACCATCCTCAGAAGGGACCGTGATGAGCTGTGACCCAAAAGGCCTTGCAGCAATCCTGCAACTCAATGCCATGCCCCGGGGTCAGGGAGGGGGTTAGGGTTGGGACAGGCCAGTGGGACAGAACAGTTAACACCCAACACCCTTACTGGAGAAATCAAGTTAGACACAAGAAAGAGAATGAAGAGGATAAAAAAAGAGAGCGAGAACATGAAGCAGAGAAGGAATGTGCAGTCCATTTCGGAATAACCTATATTTTCATAAATCTTTCACATACAATTTTTATTTTGAATTAAAAAGAAGGGGTGTAAAGATGTGTGTGTGGGCAGCGGGACATCAAAAGTTCACTTTTATTTTCTTGGAAGGTGTAAATATGTTTGTGCTACGTTGGAATCACAATGTTGGTCTAAATTAAATGCAGAGTTTTCATTATTTTATTCCCCTTTTGTGTCCAAAGAACAAAACAGAGTTGTGTGTCCACACACGTGTCCCACTCCTGTTGTACGGTTTCTTGGTCCAGTTCCACTCGTCTAATGCTTGTTTAGTTCCACATTTAAATGAGTTTAATTCACTTTATGGTTATAACAGGTCTGCTTCAAGTAACTTCGTATCTTCTCATCACACTGAAGGAATAAAAAAAACATTTTGAACCGAGGCTTGAGACAAGATAAAGAGACTGAGCTGCTCCAGCCTTTTGAGATGCAACCCTTTTCTCCCTCGTCTGTTTCATGGTTTTGGATTACGATGTCCCTTAGTGCTTATAAAAATAACTAGGATCTTTTATATATTTTTTACAGTACTGTACAATATATGGGTGTGATTAGTCTTTTGTTGTTACCAACAGAAAATATGGGAAAAAAAAAAAAATGCATGTTGGAAAGGTTTTTAACCTTTTATTCTAAATTCTGTAGTGGATCAAAAACAGACTGCACTGCGACTGACTGCTGGCTCATCCAGGAGGCCTCTTGTTAAATGTCAAATGAGATAAGCCCCCCCACCTGATCTTACATAAGGTCAAATGATCATTTGCATTCTTTATTTTGACTCGGTTTAGTCCATGTAAATCTGAAATTATAAAATAAAATTCTCTCCATCAGTGTCTGAAAAACCCTGAAGTTAGTTGCCGGGCACTGAATTGCCAAAATAAAACGAGCTATGTTGCTAAGAATCAAAAAAGAATGCAAAATGTTTCTACATGATGTTCTTGGAACATTATCTTGAATTTTTGTAACTTGTTTTTGTTGTCTGTGCATCATGGTGCCGGGAGAGAAAAACTCAGCTTACAAAGTGTTTAAAAGACAACATGGGGGGGGGGGACCCATACGGTGAACGGTGGAAATTAAGTCTTGACACTTTATACGAGTTCCTAAAAAAAAAAACCCAACTGATTTTGTTTCTTTATATGTCTGAGGTTTTGGTACAAGTCTTGATTTCTGAGAACCTTGGGAGTGGAGTTTTAGACGAGTATGAGTACAGTACTCTGTATTGTGTGTCTTGTCCTTCTGTAGAGGCTAACAAATACCTGCATAGTGACATATCGGCCCATAAACAGAACAACGGGGGGAGAAGGTGATGTCATTTCTAAATCTCTCATCTCAGACGTAAAAAGCAAAAGAAAAAAGATGATTAAAAAACATTTTACAGATGTCTGACTGTGTGAAAGTCATTATTTCTGTCAAGAATGATTGACAGATTAAAATAAACCTTTTATTTTGCAGCAGTAAAAGTAACTTTACACATCCCAGTCTGAAGTGGAGCTGGTCACTGGCACTTGGAAGGGCAGTTGTGCTTCGTATGTACATAATCGTTTCATAAATATAACAATTTCTTTAAAACAAATCAAATCAGTGTCACCTTCATTCACAATAAGTCGTTCGCCTTCCTTTCTACATAGAGATACAGACATACAAGAAAACCCACAAATTAATAATCTGGGAAACAGTAAGGCAGATAATGCACTTTTACATGATTTGACCAAATATTTTGGTTCTTATGAGTTGATTTTAAGACATATTATTATCACAGGTCAAAGTTAACCGCTCTGCTGCCTTTGTACAAATCCATTACGTGTATAAAACCATTATAATTGTCCCCACAGATATATAATTCACACATACACAACATGTTCAGCTCCTCATTAAGGCTGTTTTACAAAGTGCTTGATAACAGTGATGCTCAGAGTTGTAGTGGTCAGTCTGCACCGAGGCCTCGGTTAACTCCGGTCATTTGTCCTTGCTACTTTCTGGTTCATCCTCCGGTGACGCTGTCACTTGCTTCATCTCTTGGTCCAAATGAGCTCGACGGTGTTTCTGGACCAGGTTACCACCCGCAAAACCCAGGGCGCCCCCACCCAGAGCGGCAGCCACCCCTACAGCTTTGAATCCGGCCAGCAGTCCGAGCGGCCCTCCTAGCACGCCGCCCAGCAGCGCCCCGGCAAATGGAAGCACCGCCAACTTGTAGCCCACCGCCTGGAGAGACAGAAAGAAGAGATATGCTCCAGTTTATTTAACACGCCTTGAGAGATTTAGGAGTAAACGATGCCCCGTGACAGGATCCTTTCATGGTCACGCACCAACACACTGGTGGTGGAAGTGACACAAATAAGCCCACATGTGTACATGTAAACAAATGCTGCCGCAGCTGCATCAAACCATTTTCATTATCTTCATTTAGGAGAAATCAGAGAGTTGTGGACTGTGTGTTATTACAGCTGTTATCATCAGTGTGGAAGGTGCTCTTTGCTGATGGCAATTAATGATCGATTCTCTGACCATCCTCTCTCTCTTTCTCTCTCTCTCTCACACACACACACACACACACACTAGATTAACACTTCACCATTAAATTAATCTAGTTCAAAAGCATTGCTTGCCCACACCCCTGTGGCAGTTGTAGGAATTTTAATTTCATCTGAGCCAAGTTAAAAGGACTCCGGCTATAGAGGTTGTGGAGGATGGAGGAAATGAGGGGGTTGCGTGTGCGTGCATGTGTGTAATACTATTTGACCTGATTACAGATTACAAGCTTTCAAACACGTTAAAACATCTGAAACGCTTCTCATCTGCTTCATCTGTTCTCAGCCTTCATCTGTTGCCTCACTTCATCTGCCAGTGACTTTACACAGAGGGCAGACTTTGTTTGCCTTTCTATTAGGGCACATTTATTATTGAAAACTTGGTTTTTGTAACTTAAACACACTAAGTTTAAAGCAAATGGTAAAAACTGTGCATGCGATACAACCTTTTATTACTGTAATTGGTATGCAGTCTTTTTTTGGATGTTCCCTTTTTAGGGGTCGCCATCACGAGTCATACTCCTCCTCTTTGTCTTTTTCCTGGCAGCTGCATTTCTACCAATATACCCACTGTCCCTCCACTGGACATGTTCAAACCATCTCAGTCTGTCCTCTCTAATATCTCCTAGTTGTTCAACCTGTGCTGTACCTCTGATGATCTCATTCCCAGTCTTATCCATCCTTGTCACTCCTAAGGAGACTCAGTATCTTCATTTCTGCCACTTCCAGTTCTTTCTCCTGTCTTTTTGTCAGTTCCACTGTCTCCACACCATAAGTGTCTTGTAAACTTTTCCTTTGACCTTTGCTTGACACCCTTTTGTCACAAATCACTCCTGAAACTTTTCTCCTGCCTGGACTCTCTTCTTCACCTCTTTACCACACTCACCATCTTCCTGGACAGTGGACCCCAAGTACTTGAAGTCCTGCACCTTTGTGACCTCTGCTCCTTGTAGCCTCACCGTTCCACCGGCCTCCCTCTCATTCACACACATGTACTCTGTCTTACTACGGCTGACTTACACCCCTCTTCTTTCAAACGCATACCTCCACCTCTCTAAGTTCTCTTCCAAGATTTATAAAATAGTGCTCACACAAACAGATAAAATGTTTCAAAGAGTGAAGTTGTTTTAAGAAAGCAGAAATCTACTTTGGTCTTGGACCCACTCACGCTAACCTTTAGCTCTTCAGTGTGGTCAGAACCAAACACACACACACAAAATGCTTCAACTAGTGTGAGCTCAATTTTAGAACAAAACAAACAAACAGGTGATTCATTTTGTGTATTACAAAGGAAAAAGTTCAGAACTTCAAGCGTGTAATATGTGAGAAGGGCAGTGACTCGTCTGACTTACACTCAGTGGAGAACAGTGTGACAACGCAGCTCCTGAAAAACTTAAAACTTCTACTCACCCCCCCCCCCCCCCCCCCCACACACACATACACACGCGCGCAGACACACACGCACACAAAAGCAGACCCTCTTTTGTTCACGCTCTTATCCCACTTCTTTATCACTCCTCCTCCACTCCACTTCCCATCTTTCCCTCTTCTCTCTCTATTTCCTTAATTGCAGCTTTCCCCTGATTCGAACGAATCAATAGGGACAAATGCTGTGGAATGGCTGGGAGGCAAAGTGCCATCGATCTCCCAGTCTCCAAAACACCACACACACATCTGATCGTCAGGACATAAACACACACACACCTTCCCCAGGCTCTTGGTCCCCTCCTCCACGTTTGCTGCGGCCGTGTTGACGTTGTCCTCCACGCTGTCAATCTTCTCCTGCTGGGACTGAAGCGTAGAGGAGGGAGGGACGGACAAACACCAGTAGACATTAACGCACACTCATAATCAAGCACTGACACAAATGCACGCACGTGTGAAAGGGCCACCACCTGTTGTGTGCAGAGATTTTTTTTTTTTCCCAGTTCAAAATCTGCTTGACGGCGCAAGTTTAACACAAGAGATAGGTGTGGAGGGTGTCATTCATGGAAGATCTTACTGGGAATTAGTCATACCGTGTGTGTTTGTTTGTGTGTAAAATGTGTGCCATTGTGTAGATCTCATGAAATATTCAGAGTGGCAGCTGTCTCTCTCCATGTGAGGATTGGAGGGACACAGTGGCCAAACAACAAGCAGACACCGTCCTTTTTCTCCTCATCTTCCTCTCACCTGCTCACTCTGAGCCAAAAGTCTTTTCACAAATTACGCTTGACTTGAACATCCTTCTTTATTAGAAAATAATAAGTAAGTAAGTATTAAGTAAAACTTTGCTGGACTGTATTCACGAGTCTTTACTGGAACTTTAGAAAAAATGTTGGGTAAACTAAAAGTGTATAAAACATGATAACTCCATTACAGATTAAATAAGCATTGGCTCACTTAACAGATTATTTAATCGTGCCTGTGTCAGCTTTATATATATATATATATATATACATACATAACACAAAGCCCTAAAAGAGACCAAGAAAACCAGAGAGATGAACAGAGAAGCTCAAAAACATCGGAGCAGTCTCTAACATGACGTGTGTGCAGACACAAACAAAAACACAACCACACACTCACTCAGTTTCCACTGTGACTGAACGCTGGAATATTGCTCCTCTAACAGCGTCTTTCACCCATGAGGCACTGCAACATGTCTATGCTCTTTCTCCCCCCACTCCTCCTCGATATAGCTGCCTGTTTTTTATTTTTTTCTTCACACTAACTACATCTTCACTTTCTCCTTCACTGTTAATCTTTCCCCCACTCAGCCTCTCATCCATCCCTGAGGATAGTGATAATCTGAACCGTCTGTTCTCCACCTGCTCTGTTGTATCCCTCGTTTCCCTCTTCTCCCCCGTGACGACCTGCTGTCCTCCCCCAAATCTCCGCTCCCTCCCTTCCTTCTTCTCTTCCACTCTTACCTCGGTGGACGGCCTCTGGGGCCCCAGCAGCACTCCCGGGCTGATCTGTGTAACCTTGTTTCAGAGGAGTCTTTCCAGGCAACACGCATACACATCGGTCAACTACACACACAACTTCCTGGAAACGCTACAGGCAAGCAACTTTTGTCACAGCGAGTTCGTTCACATGGCTAACTGTGCCCACATGTAGATGGAGAAATGCACGCAGTGCTAAAGTATGAAGAAGTCTGCAGAGTGCAGTATTTATACTCACATGGACAAGCAGGGAGAACTCTGTGACTAAACCACTCAGCTCCTTCAGGTCCTGAGGGGGAAAAGTGTTTATTTATATTATTGAGTTACCATATCATACAAATCTACAGTTATAACCGACCAAACACAGAACTGCCCTTATCTAATGAGGGTAAATGCATGCAGCTACAGTACTATGGTTAGAACAGAGTAGGAATGGAATCTAAAAGATCTCCAGACCTCCTCCTGCCTGCCTCCAATTCATCTAGGGAGACATCGAAGCATCCTGAAGTCAGTCAGGATATAAACTCTCAAGTGTGTGTGGGTGTATTATATATATATATATATATATATATATATATATA